TTGGCAGCATTGCACAAAAAAGTAGCAAATACTGTTACTGAAGCACAGAATTTGCATGAATTTTTCTCCATGGCCATTCATGCAAACTGCAAACGAAGTCTTTTATCTCATCCATAGTTGTTGACACTTTGCAACCGCCTTGATGGATGTATTGTGACGTATTTTGACCCCGGATTCTGACCTTGCATTCTGGCTACATTTACTGCACTTTCACACCAGCTCAATTTCCTTTAATTATTACATCCAAATTTCATGATATTTAATATTTAAAACCAACCTTTATTTCACAGTCACTTTAGTTGTCACTTTTCTAAAATTATTTCACAGATCAAAAGAATTTTCACTCCCATCATGCAATCCCCCATAGTACTTCCGCAGACACAGTGGCGATCGCCAACATATCTACAAATAACCTCGCTCTCAGGAGCTGAGGAATAATATATATATATATATATATATATATATATATATATATATATATATAGATCGTCTGCTGGCGTTGCCTCGCCCTTCCACTCCCCACCCGATCTCACTGTACAGGCAAGAGGTCTGCTGAATTTGAAAACGTAGGAATCCCACGCTTCTGCCATATGAAATTGTAGAGGTGTTCCCTGGCGCATTGAGCTGAATGGGCGGGAGGTCACCGGTCGTCACGGTTACGGTATTCTGTAACATCGACGATTTAGCATGTGCTGTCGATGTAAATGTACAGAAAATTACGAAACTGTTTACTGTACATAGTTACATACGTAATTAAATAAATAGCGATTATTTATCACCTTTATATTTCTGATATACTAGTATTGTGTTTTTTCAACTGTAATCCATTTTAATAAGCCTGGAGCCATAGACTTTACATGTAAATCGCGCCCTCTGGCGACAATAATCTAGATGACGGACGTATGTACATCCAAACACAGTTGTCGAGTTGTCTCGCCTATGACGTTTATATTGTCTAGTCCGGGTCATCCTGCTGTTTATGAACCTAGCTAATACATTCAATAAACTATTGTTTTTCTCAAGAAATGCAAGAAAGTCATTCTGGACTAGTTTAACACATGCATTCTGTCGCCCCTTCGTACTTTCAATCACGTATTTAATCGAAAATCATCCACTTTCGACATCATGAACACAAGCGCTTCCTCTTTGGTTGGGTTAAGAACACTACAGAATATTAATCCGGGGATTTGGTGCTGCGGCTGCAATTAATCATTTCATGCAAATTCATTATATTGACGTGGGCAGTCCGTGCGTGAGTCGTGTTGGAGTCTTTGCATGGTAATTATCATGACGTAGACAGTCCGTGTTTGAGTCGTGTTGTAGACATTGCATAGTAATTTTCATGACGTAAGCAGTTCGTGTGTGATTCGTGTTGTAATCATTGCATAGTAATTACCATGACGTAGACAGCCCGTGTTTGAGTCGTGTTGTAGCCATTGCACAGTAATTTTCATGACGTAGACAGTCCGTGCGTGAGTCGTGTTGTAGCTATTACACAGTATTTTTTATGACGTAGGCAGTCCGTGTGTGATTCGTGTTGTAGTCATTGCATAGTAATTACCATGACGTAGACAGTCCGTGTGTGATTAGTGTTGTAGCCATTGTATAGTAATTTTCATGACGTAGACAGTCCGTGTGTGATTAGTGTTGTAGCCTTTGCATAGTAATTACCATGACGTAGACAGTCCGTGTGTGATTAGTTTTGTAGCCATTGCATAGTAATTACCATGACGTAGACAGTTCGTGTGTGAATCGTGTTGTAGCCATTGTATAGTAATTTTCATGACGTAGACAGTCCGTGTGTGACTCGTGTTGTAGTCATTGCATAGTAATTACCATGACGTAGACAGTTCGTGTGTGAATCGTGTTGTAGACATTGTATAGTAATTTTCATGACGTAGACAGTCCGTGTGTGATTAGTGTTGTAGCCATTGCATAGTAATTACCAAGACGTAGACATTCCGTGTGTGATTAGTGTTGTAGCCATTGCATAGTAATTACCATGACGTAGACAGTTCGTGTGTGAATCGTGTTGTAGACATTATATAGTAATTTTCATGACGTAGACAGTCCGTGTGTGATTAGTGTTGTAGCCATTGCATAGTAATTACCATGACGTAGACAGTTCGTGTGTGATTAGTGTTGTAGCCATTGCATAGTAATTACCATGACGTAGACATTCCGTGTGTGATTAGTGTTGTAGACATTGTATAGTAATTTTCATGACGTAGACAGTCCGTGTGTGATTAGTGTTGTAGCCATTGCATAGTAATTACCATGACGTAGACAGTTCGTGTGTGAATCGTGTTGTAGCCATTGCATAGTAATTACCATGACGTAGACATTCCGTGTGTGATTAGTGTTGTAGCCATTGCATAGTAATTATCATGACGCAGATAGTCTGTGTGTGTTTCATTTTATCACAATAGTTCTGTAGTTTCTAATAATAATGTAATATAATAATTGTCATGCATGTTCTGAACATTAGCTTTTTGAGCACTAGCGTTCAACAAAATACCCTGAATGTAATTATATTATAAATAAAAATAAAGAACCAATTAATTTCTGTACAATAAGTGATATCAAACGCATGTATTTAAAAAACGTTGGAAATGGGTCCAATGCGAGGTATACAACGCGCGTAACGTTCGCTATTTACACACATAACACTCGAATGCGCGCTGTTTGACGAGTGTGGCGCTTTGAAATTGTGATAAAGGTACTGCTGAGTGTACTACTGTTTTACTCAATTTTCTGTCTGAGCTTACAATTTGAAATAATGCCTCGATTACAAACAAAAACAATACAGAACTAGATGTCATCAAACTTTACAAACATATGAACATGTTTTCCAGATATGTGCAACGGTGTTCGAATGGCGCTTAGCGAAAAATCTGGCGGAATAATAATAATAATAATAATAATAAACATAACGATTACAATAGGTTTCTTGAAAACCTAAAAAGAAGCGTAATCTATAAGTAGCTAATAAGGATATTACAGCCCAAAGCATTCGCCATAAATAGCCCAAAAGATACGTGAACTAAACAGTTCTAGAGCTAGCCAGTACGCATATACGGCACAGAAATACAATCTCGGCATCCATGGGTTGGCTATGTTTTTAAATTAAATGCTTGAAGTTTGTTGACCGTGTCATAACGTGATTTGATTTCACCGGAAGGATATCTGCATGCGATCGATAAGACACGCTGTTTGTTTTTATCAACAAGTTTCAAGTTACCGAGCCCAATCATTGAGATTGACGTGGTCAAGAACGCTGCATCAATACTCCTTAACTGAATGAATTATTTCCATAGGAATATCAATTACCGAGTGTCGTACACGTGTACAGTGAGAATGTCATGAGTATTAAGAGCAACTTAGGTAGTCCAATGTTGTTCAACTATTTGTTAGGAACCGAAAACTATTCTTGTTCTATTTCACAAACCCCATCGACGAGGTAAGTTTTATCATGCAATATGCATCTTTGCGATTTTTTTGGAAAGCTTCAAAGCACAGGCTTTGACATTTTTCCCAGACTTGAATACTGATAATTAGTGATTTCAATGTTAAATATTTTAAATAGAGTGGATTTCATTAGTGTTTTCTAGGCCATGTTATTCTGGTAAACATATTATTTTTTATCCATACTATTCTCTGGTTTATTGTGTCATGTTGACGTCCTCGATGTGACTGGGCTGGTATCAATTATGTTGTGTTATATTTAAGAAACAAACATGGTAGGTACATGCCAAAAAAAATGTTGACCTTGACTTGTAACAATTATTATTTGTGTTGAAGACGAGTATCATTTCATCTGTACACAGTACAGTGAAAAGATTGACACGCAGTATATATTTGGAATTAGAATAAATTAGCAGAATTAGAATTAGCACTTTTATAATAGACAGTTTTCCATTACTGCGAGATCTCACGTTATGTGTGAAATCGGATAAGAAAACAGAACAAGCTATAGCGTCGTAGTGGCGTCAACATTTCACGTGGGATTCGACAAATGCATTATTTGTGGATTATTTCCACGCTCAATAATGTGCTTGATGATGTAAATTTCTATGAAGTAAGGGTATTTCAACATTATATTCCCCTCGGAATAATCGCCATTTTGATATTGAACTATAGAAAAAAATCAGATACAACAAACTCAACTGGAGTTTTTGCGACAGACGTTCCGTCCAAGCCGTTCACGTATTACGCGAGAACTCCCAATGAACGGGAACTCGCCGACTAAAATGTATTGAAGTTAGACAAAATGCGTACCGGGAGTAAGTACGTAAACAAGTGAATACTCGTGTGACCCTTCTCCAGTTTGTAATAAATTAGGTTAATACCGACGTCATGAATATGTATTTATTCAAATTTTAATCACTTCTTTATTCACAGTTCTGCTATGTTCCGTGCGAGTATTGTGCTGTACTCAAATAATTCAACATTTAAGCCGGGATTGCGCCATGGGACCCATGGGCCTACACTTGCTTGTACTTCCGAGCGTGGCTAGCTATTAAACGCGCGGACAATTTAAAAGTACTACAAGTTATTGATAATTTGTAGATTGTTAGTGTGTTCACCTCACATCAAGGAGTTCTGGTTAATTCTCAGAGCTGACTGTTTATAGCAGCGTAAATCAGAGTACAGTGTTCAATTAAATAAAAAAAACGGCGATGTAGTTTCTATGGAAACAATGACTTTGTGATTCCGCCATAGCGTTATACTACTCTAGCGGCCATTTTGAATTGAAAAATGGACGAAAACACATACAACCGAGGTTTATAATTCCAAAACTTTGGATTTCACTCCAATCACTAAGAATATCAAAATTTTGTAACAGAATATTATAGCAAAATATCCTGCGCCAAAAAATTGTTTACTCATCCATCTTGTCAATCTGTTGTTTTCCATTGTAATGTTATTCCGTGATCTGATTTAGCCATTCGAACATTCAAGTAACTTTCACGTTTGTGTCACATATTCTCATCAGATTTGCTTGATCGTCGATCACGTGATGTTGACCCTGTTAATCGTAACCGCCGTGATCGGCAGTGTGGTGCCATCACGTGACACGTAAGTGTATATCTTTATTTATTCTATACATTGTGACAGGCCGTCATGTTTATTGGGTTTGGAATAAAATGAGAAAGGGGACATAAAATCGACGTAAAAATAACATTGCCAAGCTTTGGTTTAGATTTACCCACAAGTTTCCTTCTCAAGTGTTGTTTTCTTTGATTTCGATCTAATTACAAATAGGATCTTGCTTATAGATTGTATCAAATGCATCGAATTTCAATCGATATTTACTTCGGATTTGTATTTTGAGTATCGGTTGACAGGTGATGATAGAATTCAAAAATTGCATAACTAGATAATGTAATTTACATGCGTTGTACATGTCACGGTTGCATGATGAGACCCACATCGAACGTCAATTCTATACACACTCAAACAAGACAAATTGTTGTTTAAATTGTCTTTATATATATATATATATAAATATTGCTTATAAATGTTGTCATGTTTTTACCAGTTTTGACACGCCGTCGTTTTGCGATGAAGACTGTCCCAAATATCAAACGCTGTGCCGCGACGATGACTACGAAGTTCGGCGTTATCTTGCCGGTAAATGGGTGTCAACGATGGAGACTGGACTCGTATCATCAGCTGCCTCGATGCGGGCATCGTGGAGGCTGTCCAGCTACATGTCTGGTTCCGAGAATGTACAAGGTGAATTAGTTTTACTGGGTGTTATTCACACCAAGTTCATTGACATGTTAAAGCGAGAGGGTTGTCACCTGCGCACGCGCGAGAATTGAGTTCCAAGTGACGATAATAACACACGCTAAAAACGCAAAGGCTCATGGGTAGACGTTTGTTTGTAAACAATGACACGCTATGGCCATCCGACGCATGCGCAGGTGACGATTCCCCCGCTTTAACTCGAGTGCATGTTGACGACGTACACCAACATACGCGAAATGTCGGTACTTTCGTTTTTGGCTTACATAACAATATGTGCACAGACTGCATCACTTGTCGTTCTTACACATCAAACACATATATCTCTCATATTTATCCACAAATACACCGGCTTGCCTAATGACGTCATTGTCATTGCTACAGGTGTTAATATTCCCACCACAAACCTCGTCCTAGTCGAAGCAGATAATCGAAAAAATGATTGGATGAAGGAATACGTTGTGTCGTTCTACCTGCCAGAACAAGTCGGAGATAACCCACCGCAACCTTCGAATGGGAATGTGAGTATATTTTACTTTATGTAGTTGGCCAATAATTATAGTTCATACTACGTTACTTGTTTTTGCGATGACACCCGATAATTGTTTTATTATATTGCCCGTTGATTGTGTTTGCGAAATCCTGTGTTTTCCGTGTAATATTGTTCTTTGTATGATTTGAGATATTGGTTGGTAATTTTCGTTATAGAATTGTCTGTAACTTATGACAACTATTTCACGACATTTTTCTTTGCAATTTGTTCGTTCTTTATTTGTTTGGAATTCCCCTAGACATTATATTTGTTCTGTGATTTTATTGTGATATCACTGTTACTTAATTGTTTTTAGTATTAAATATATCACAGTTTATTCTATATATATTGTCAGAAGTTGTTACATTTAAAATCATAATAAAGAGTTTAAATTACATATCACAAATACATTTCCTCCTGACTATGGTTCTTAAAGACTCACTTATTATTTCGTTTGTTTCTAGTATATAAATATACATGTAAAATAACAATATAAAGTAGCCGGATGTGGTGGTGCCTTATTTCTTCAGACTCCCCCAAGAAGGTTAACAAGAGTGACAATTACCATGTTGAAAAAAATCTAATTTTAAGATTTCCCCACTTTTCAAAATAGTGGTTTGTTTTATTTTGCTTAATTAAAATATAGTGTTCAATTTGTTGTATTTTATGTATGTTCATTTCAACCATATTAAAGGAGGGTAAACAATTGTTTAACCTACTAGTGTAAATTGTCCATTTCATAAGGATTATTAGATGATTCAGTAGCTTAGAAACTTACTGATATGTTATTTGTATGATTTTGATATTGCCCCTTCGCCATTGTGATATTGCCCGTTACCATGATTTTTTTATTATTTTTTTTGGTAATAATCCTCGATACTTGCTATGCCTTTCACATTATGTTTGGAATATTGTTTGTTACTTCTCTTTGAGTTATTGCCCGTTACTTAATATGTTTATGGTATATTCATTTATATATTTCCCATATTGCGACAGTACGATTTCGTGATATTGCCCGTTACTTCGTACTGTAAATTCATAATATTGCTTCATACGTTTCTTTATGAAAATCTAACATTGGTCTGGTGGTCTTGTTATTACCAGATTTAGTTTGTACTATTCGAGTAATACATATCATTGATGTTGTCATGGTGATACATTGTAGTAATCATGAGTGTTCACATTTATTATTAGGTGTTCATTCAGGAAACACAACCATTCACTGTGTTTGTGTCGAACTTTGGTGGATTCGCCATGGATCCTGTTCCTAAGCAACAAGCAAATAAACTATTTCGTCTACTTGATGAAGATGGAATCGACAATTACTCGACTGATTATTACTATACCGCCACCTACGACACGTAAGAACGCATGCGACTATTTTGTATCAGGTGACATAATTTATGCAATATTGTGTCGTGCTGCCACTGCAATACAATTCACACACGTGGTGACAATGAACATAGTCATACAAGTGAATTCTCGCTATTCGGTGAAAAACAGTCAACGAGATTCGAACGGACTCAAAATATTCAGAACTCAATATAAATTTGAATTTAAACCACACCGATTCGTTAGCAGTATTATTGACTTATCGATTTCACTGATACACCCTATGATTACGCCACCCCCTCTCCCGCAAATTGAGCCGCTTCAATTTACGGTGACATCTCCTCACAATGAATGTTGTGAAAGCTGACCAGTGTGGTGCGGATGACCGTGTGTAAAACATGTTACTTTCTGTTTCCGATGTCGTACTTTTTACCCATGATGCACGTGGTCACAGGTCACTGTATTCTGTTATAGGCCAGGAAAGCTTGTCAATCGTCACAACGAAATCTGGATTCAGGTGAAATCAGAGGGCGTTGACTCTGACAGTTTATGTAAAGGGAAGACACACAAACCAATCGCGAACGTGCCGCCATCTACGATAAAACGATGCACAGGTAATGGTTCCTCAACGTATTTTCTGTTGCGCATGATTCTATAGAACACTGCAAGTAGTGTAGTGTAGTGTAGTGTAGTGTAACTATTTGTCAGTGGCGGATCCAGAGGGGGGCCGGGGGCATGCCCCCCCCCAAAAAACGCATGACGATTCATATCATCTGGATTACGCAATTACGCATAGCTTCTCTGCGATTTTCGCTCCGTATATCTTAAGCGAAGCTTCCCCCCCTCCCAATACATTTTGCTGGATCCGCCACTGCTATTTGTCGCAGTCATGTTCACACAGTATTCTATTTGATATTTCAGAGGTTGAATGTCCGGACTACGAAGTACTCGATACTTATGGTGGTGGCATTGAAAAGCGTCGCTATGACAAGGCGGTATACATTAACATGGAGTTAGATTCGTGTTTATATGATATTTCTTCCGGCGTAGGATATTGGTCACTGTCTAATTACTTTGCAGGTAATCAAGTGGCCAAAACTAAAGCGGGGGAGTCGTCACCTGCGCATGCGTCAGATTGCTATAGCGTGTCTTTGTTTACAAAAAAGCGTCTACCCAATTGTCTTTCAGTTTTTAGCGTGTGATGTTATCGTCGCTTGGGACCCACGCGTGCGCAGACGACGACCTTCCCGCTTTAAATCAAACTGCACTGTTATCATTGGTCAATGGGTACAGAAGCAGATAATCGATGATTCCCTTGTGTGCGGTAAATGTGTGAAATAAGAGGGACACGTTCAGGAGCGTCCAATAATGCACATGACGTCGCGCTTAAAATGTTTTCTAAGTAAGTAATGCGTTGCTTTTAACGGAACAAATACAGAGCTTTACAAATATATGGAATGTGTGTAGCAGCCGCAGGCCTGAAGGATGCACAATGCGCTACGACAGTAGTCTGTTTATTTATTTATTTATTTATTTATTTATTTATTTATTTATTTATTTATTTATTTATTTATTTATTTATTTATTTATTTATTTATTTATTTATTTATTTATTTATTTATTTGTTTGTTTGTTTGTTTGTTTGTTTGTTTATTTTACTTACTTTTTATTTATTTGTTTTCTTTTTTATTTATTTATTTACTTTTTTCTTTCTTTCTTTCTTTCTTTATTTATTTTTCAATTCAATGTACATGTAGATACCACTAATAATGACCCTGTCGCTATAGGTGAAAACAGTCGGCATGAAGTAATTAACTCAACAGCGCCGATAACGATGACTGTGAAAGAAACGCACTCTGGCGGCAGTATTAGTGATCTGTTAAACTGTGACAAGTCTTACGACATGTCGTTCTATCTACCAAAATCACTGCATGAAGATCCGCCGCGACCAATCATGGTGAGTTGTATTAAATACGAAATGATAAGTGGATGTTTAGTTAGCTTTTACACGGACCTTAAACATATTTCATATTTCTTTATTTCTTTTTCTTTATTGTTATTTTAATAATAATTATCTGTTGTTTATGGAACAATGAGAACAAATTTGCTGAAATTTGTAATAATTTCTGCTTTTATTATAGAGCGACATGAGAATTCAAAGAGCGCCACCTGTCGATGTCTTTGTGAAAGGATTTGGTGGGTGGATGAATTCCGTCTCCGTGCGGGGTCATTTAAGGAAGATGCGCAGAAAACTTAATGAATTAGGTTTGTGTTTTCTGGAAAACCCGTACATAATAGTTCGCTATAATGCACCGTGGGCACTATTTGGAAGGAGGAACGAAGTGTGGATGTTACCTTGTAAAGATTTGACTCCAACTGCTGTCCCAACTGGAAGTGACTCTGACGTCACAATCGCCAGGGTTCGACCAAGCACGGACGATTCTGGAAGTGTGACGTCATTCAATGATTTCCATACCAAAGACGCGACGGAGGCGACAACACAGAGTCACGTGTACACAAACAAAGTCACGACAGCAGGGTAAGGGTAAATGTATTTTATTTGGTCATGTAGCGCAATGTACTAATATAAATCCACTTTCATTTGTACATATACGCGTACATTCATATTGGGATTGTAAACGACCACGCGTACATCCGTATGGAGAGTGTAAACGACCACGTGTACATTTGTGTATGGAGACTGTAGACGACCACGCGTACATCCGTATGGAGAGTGTAAAGGACCACGTGTACATTTGTGTATGGAGACTGTAGACGACCACGCGTACATCCGTATGGAGAGTGTAAACGACCACGTGTACATCTGTGTATGGAGACTGTAGACGACCACGCGTACATCCGTATGGAGAGTGTAAACGACCACGTGTACATTTGTGTATGGAGACTGTAGACGACCACGCGTACATCCGTATGGAGAGTGTAAACGACCACGTGTACATTTGTGTATGGAGACTGTAGACGACCACGCGTACATTCGTATGGAGAGTGTAAACGACCACGTGTACATTTGTGTATGGAGACTGTAGACGACCACGCGTACATCCGTATGGAGAGTGTAAACGACCACGTGTACATTTGTGTATAGAGACTGTAGACGACCACGCGTACATCCGTATGGAGAGTGTAAACGACCACAAGTATATTCATGTGGAGATTGTTAAACGACCACGCGTACTTTCGTGTGGAGATCGTAAACGAATACGTGTATGTTTGTATTGAGACTGTAAAACGACTACGCATACTTTTGTATGGAGATCGTAAATGACCATGCTTACAATCGTATAAAGATTGTAAACAAACACGCGTACAATCGTATAAAGATTGTAAACAAACACGCGTACAATCGTATAAAGATTGTAAACAAACACGCGTACAATCGTATAAAGATTGTAAACGACCATGCTTACTTCCATATGGAAATTGCTAACGACTACATGCACATTCATGTGGGGATTGCAAACGTACATGTGTACATTTGTATGGAGAATGTAAACAAACACGCGTACAATCGTATGGAGATTGCAAACGACCATGTTTACATCCATATGGAGATTATAATCAACCATGCTTACATTCATGTGGGGATTGTAAACGAACACACGTTCGTATGAAGACTGCAAAACGACTACGTCTACTTTCGTATGGAGATTGTAAATGACCATTATTACGTCACGTCCATATGAAAATTGTAAACGACCATGCTTACATTCATATGAGAATTGTAAACAATTAGGGACATACGTGTTTTTTGAGAGAGACTCGTCATCTTTCCCTATTCATGTGATTTATTTCTGATTTTGTAATTGTATTTTGACTTAGCCACAGTTTTAGAATCGACTGATCGACCAAATACTTCGCTTTGTGGTTCCCGGCATCATCAAGGACGCTGGAAAATTAAATAAATCGTGTACGCATCACATACTGTGTTATTTAAAAACATCCAAGAACGTGCGCATGCTCAGTAACACAGATCTATAACATACGATGGAATTTAATCAATTTTATTTCATTCGCCTACCATCGCATAGACTCCATTGAAATGGCGGCATTCATTGACAGTATTAATCTAATTATAACGTTTGTACTACAGCCCATTGTGTGATTGTCCCGAGTATGACGTCATAGCTTCGCCTATTGATGGAATCGAGGAAAGGATCTACAGAGCTAAGAAGTGGGTCAGTGTAACATTACAGGCATGTAGTTCCACAGACGCCAGGCTGATTGCATTGCGCCCTCTGGAGAGATATATGAACGGTATGAAAACGAGGTTGAAAAGTCATGTACAATTCCCATAATTAACATTTGTGAATTATTAGGGTTTTTTGAGGTCGCTCTTGTACGCTAACATTTCACATAGTCAAAGTGAAACATTTATATAATTCACTATACATACGTCATTTCTATAAATCGCGCCCTCTAGTGACCGGAGATTCTATGACGTCAAAATGACAGGGAGGGCAGTGTAGTTCAAATCAACAACTGTGTTGTTTGGTTGTGCGGTCGATCGTCGTTTAGGATTTGGTAAAATCACTCAAAAACATAATCTTCATTGATAGACGACTACCGATGAAATGGATAGCGACAATTTGAACTACCTTAGTAACTGCTTCATGGGAGCGCTTCACCACTATGTGTCGCATGAATCGGTCAAAAGTTATTAAAATTGGTCATTCCACTCAAGCAGTGTCTTTTTAGATGTTTATGGCAGTGATCATGGTTATATTTAAATAAATCTTTTCGTTTTTATTTAACAATACAATCCAACAAAAGCAAAACCTCACATCACAACACATCGAGATACTATACGACGCACTGTGTATTGTATTACAATATGGTATAACACAGTGTAGTGGAATAGAATAATATTGTCACATGATTAAATCATAGAATAGATATTTTTTGTCTGAATATTGTAGGGCTGAACTCTGAGGCCATCGAAATGCAAATGATGTCGCCAATAATAACCACTGTTGACATGACAACGACATACGAACTTGGCTGCAATGGATCATATACTGTATCCACGTATATCGATGACAGATTTCAAGATAGTCCACCAAACCCGAGAGAACGTGGTGTTTATATTACTATTATGAGACCGCGGATTTACGCCAAGGTGAGTATAATTCAAATCTTAGGGAGTATGAATTTATGAAGGTAGTATGGTTGTTGACCTAGGGAGTACGATTTTTTACCAAAGTGAGTAGGATTTGAAGCCTAGGGAGTATGAATTTATGCAAAGGTAGTATGGTTGTTGCGCTAGGGAGTACGACTTTTTACCAAAGTGAGTAGGATTTGAAGCCTAGGGAGTATGAATTTATGCAAAGGTAGTATGGTTGTTGCCCTAGGGAGTACGATTTTTTTTACAAAAGTGAGTAGGACTTGCAGCGTGGGAAGTACGAATTTATGCCAAAGTGAGTATGATTTTAACTTTAGGGAGTACGACTTTTTACCAAAGTGAGTAGGATTTTAGCCCTGCCTTGGGAGTACGAATTTATTCAAAAGTGAGTATGATATCAACTCTAGGGAGAACGATTCGAATCTAAAGAAGTGCGAACTATGCAAAGATGTTTTAGCTCTGCCTGGAGAGTATGAATTTATTCCAAGGTGAGTATGAATTTAACTTTAGGAAGCATAAACTTTTACCAAAGTGAGTATGATTTGAATTCTGGGGAGTACGAATTAATGCTCAATTGAGTTTGATTTTACTCCTCGGGAGTACGACTTTTTACCAAATTGATTATGATTTGTAGCTTAAGAAGTAAGAATTTATGCCTAGGTAATTATGATATTCACCCTAGGGAGTACGAATGCGTGAGTATGATTTGACCCTCGAGTGTACAAATTTACGTCTAAGTAGGTATAATCTAAGCCCCATGACACACAAATTTATGCGAATACATTTAGGAAGGATTTACACCGGACGTTATTCAAGAGCGAGTACGTGTTTTCAGTGCCAAGACAAAACTACAATGTGTTACTCTTTTTAGATCCAGTTGTTTAATACTATTACCGCCCTCTATATTGCTTGTTGCTATGAACTGTTTGTATTCGTTGTTTTAGAGATACGAAGGTGCATCTGCAGATAATACACATGCAGAGATGGAGAGCGCCCTCATATCCGACGAAATCTGCCATTTGGTGTCACGTGGATATTACTTTGATGCAGGTATTTATTATACATCTATTTATCAAAGATTAATGTAAAGCATAATATCAATAACTAACTACAACATAGTTTTGTAGTAGTGGTCATTATAGGACAGAGTCGGTTCTTCTATTCTCCTGTCACTGCATGCTATATTCAGTTGTATCGTATTTTGGTCGACAAGACAACAAGTTAGTTTTCCTTCATATTATGAAGTTTAGTGTGAAAACGTCACTGGTATGGTGCTGTAAACGTCATCACTTTACGCAGCGATACGAAAAACAGCGGCGGGCAGCGATACGAAAAACAGCGGCGGGCAGCGATACGAAAAACAGCGGCGGGCAGCGATACGAAAAACAGCGGCGGGCAGCGATACGAAAAACAGTGGCGGGCAGCGATACGAAAAACAGCGGCGTGCAGCGTTACGAAAAACAGCGGTGGGCAGCGATACAAAAAACAGCGGCGGGCAGCGATACTAAAGTTTCAGACTACTAGGTAACAACAAGTACTAATGCTACAATGACTCCCACTCGTAAAAATATTGACTGAATGTTTAGTTAGAAAAGACATCAATTGAATTTGAGGGTGATATTTTGGCCGATTACGAATAACGTCCACCGATGCGCCGGCGGTAGGACGTCTTGCTTTATTTGCATAATTTAGCACAAAATTCGTGAGCGTAGTTTCGTAAAATTACGATTTCTCTGGCTTTGGTCATGTGACATATATCTCCTGATATCGCTTATTCATAAAGCTGGTTGATACTCGCGTCATATTGGTCTGTATTATAATTCCAGCACATTACGTCACTCTCTCAACAAGCTCTACAAACCTCATAATATAGTCACACCGCGCTATATAATCAGTTCACACATTGTGCAATGCGGATATGGGTCACCGTATTTATATATTCAATCCAATTGACAGATTTCAACTCAGTGCCAAACACAGTTGACCCCAGAAACGAAGTATGGTTGCCGACTCAGTTCTGCGTCCAAGATGACGTCACCAACGTTCAACGATCTGTAAGTCCTATTTTTGTATGTGTCTGGTTGTCTGAAAATACCCCTATGAAGTGCGCCCGTTACGGGCAACTACAAACCAACCTACCAGAGGGCGCCACTCACTCAGTCTTGTCTTGGTCACCAGAGTCCAAGTTATACTTTATTAGCTCTGCTGTCGACTTTGTCGAGCGGAGCTTATCATATGAGTGATTGTCCGTCGTCGTCCGTCGTCGTCGTCCGTCGTCGTCCGTCGTCCGTCGTCCGTGTCAATGTTTTACTTTTTCGACTTCTTCTTGAAAACTACAAGCCTGAATGCTTTGATACTTGGTGTATATGTACCTTGGGTAGACCTCTCTCAGATTTGTTCATTTCATGATGATATCTTCAATTCTCTAATTTTGGTGAATATTTTTGTCATTTTTGGTAAAAAGTGATATTTTCGACTTCTTGTTGAAAACCGCAAGTCCAATTGCTTTGATATTACATATATAGGTACTGCATGTGGACCTCTCTCAGATTTGTTCATTTTGTAATGATATCTTTAATTCTCTAATTTCGGTGAATATTTTTGTAATTTTTGGTAAAAAGTGATATTTTCGACTTCTTGTTGAAAACCGCAAGTCCAATTGCTTTGATATTACATATATAGGTACTACATGTGGACCTCTCTCAGATTTGTTCATTTCATAATGATATCTTTAATTCTCTAATTTTGATGAATATTTTTGTAATTTTTGGTAAA